TTCCGTCTGTTCGACTAACAATTTTAGGGCTGAATACCGTGGAGTAGTACTAATCCAGGGTGTTTGCTGCAGCCTGGTTGCCATCCGTAAGGGATCCATCAGCTCGACGGATGTCGGTGATCCCGGGTTTCGCCTGGGTCATCACGGAGGTGTCTCTATAGAAGCTTTTCGGGTCCGCAATGACCCGGTTTAAGAACTGCCTCTGGTGCTCACTGGTGTCTTGCTTTCTTTGTAGGTTACATCGGTTGCGCAATGCAACATAGGCCTCGTAATCTTGGGAGCTCTGGGACCATTGGTATTGGTTCCACGCGCGTCTTTTCCGTGCCAAGGTCTAAATTGTACGGCGACGCAGTCGCTTTTTTGTTTGAATGGTCGAACCTGTGTCCGTGGTATAAACCTACGCAAGGCCTCGGTGAGGATCTCCCTCACTTCGCTCCCATGATCGTTAACGCAAGAACAATCAAGAGACCATAGGGCTGACTCCAGGAAGGCTCGCTTACCAGGAATGTCGGCCTCACGTGGGTTCCATCGAGTGATCCCTGTTGACCGTATCAACTCCATGGTGTGTACGAATCTGAATCGTATAACACCATGGTCGACGAGTCCTAGTGGTGTAGAAACCTCTAGTTGATCGACCATATAGGGTTTGTTAGTAAGAAACCAATTTAGCGCCGAGGGTCTCGAGTTCCCTCGCAACCGGGTTGCTTGCCGAACGTGCTCGTGCCACCCTTGGTCTATCACCGTGTCAAAGAAGACTGAGGTTATGGACCCAGGTCCCGCTTGGCAGGTCAACGTACTAAAGCAGATCTCCGGTAAATTGAAATCCCCCATTATCAGAACGTGGTTATACTTCAACCTCACGACGTGCTTTAGTGCGTTGATAATGGCGGAGTTCGTCGACTGCGAACAGTTCGGTGGCCTATAGAGAACACCTACCAGGCATTGCCTTTTGCCGTCCGGTTTTATGGCTACCCAGACGCTCTCCGGTACCCTTTCTAGTACAGGATCCACGATCTTCACAGACCTTAGTTTCCTGCTGATGTAGAGGGCACACCCTCCACCTCTGCCGTCTGTTCTATCCTGTCGCAGGATTTCTAGCTCGGGTATTTCTAGTTCGGCGTCGGATATCCCCGAGTGAGCCCAGGTCTCCGTTATACCGATCAGTAGTGGCCGGTGTTGGTCGACCTGGAGACGGAGCTCACAGAGCTTGCTTAATAGGCTTTTGCTGTTGGTGTACATACAGCTCCCTGACTCTACTATCATGTTGTTGCTTGCTGCGGGCAGATTGTCTGCAGACAAATCGGAGAGACTGCTCGCCGTTGCTGGAGTTTGTGATGACGTCAGTGGCTGTGTAGGGGTTTCCAATTGAGAGCTATGTGCGCAGTGGGCTAACTTGGTTTTGACTGCCAGCTCTGTTTGAGCTGGCATTGTCAAGTTTTTTTCTCCGGAAATGGGAACGCTGCTGTCGACCGTGCTACCTGACACAGTGGTCAGCAGCAGGACTGGTTTTGCGTCCGTGAGTACACTTGCACGTCTGGTCTCTTGGCGTTCGCTCCTTGGTCTGCACCGATGAAGATGCAGGTTTGAGGGGAACTTGTTTCTCAGAGAATGCCTTGTCCGGCCTAGTCCGCTGATCACTAGTCCCCCAATATCCAGCTTGGAGGCTATATAGGTCCATTGGGAGAGACCATGTTGTGCATCCTCTTGGGGGTTTCCTCCCCGCGATTCAGGGACTCCGTGCAAGATAACGCTCTTTGCCCAAAATTGTGTTCTGTCTGGGCCCTTGGGACGCGTTGGGTCCTTTCGGACGGACCTGGATAGGTCAGGTCTTATGCGAACATAAGAGGATACGCCTAAGGTTTCTGCCGATGTAACAAGTCCACTTGTGTCACCCTCGGAGCCAAGAGTCACCTTAAGAAGCCTGGGGTACTCTGCGTATAGGCAGTCTTGGCTCCTCGCTAGTCACCTGAGGCTTAGTGGTTTCAGCTCAGGGAGAGGCATATCGACATAGTTGGTGAAAAACTGTGCTATCGTGGATATCCCTCCCGGCCAGCGATGAAGATTTGGATTCTGGTAGGTCAAATACTGTGACCGATCGGGTGCTGGGGCCAGTCTGTGTGGGCCTGGGCATAGCAGTACCCTTGTGGTGCACGGTTGTCCACTCTGATGGAGGTTGCACCGTTGCCTTATGTGCACCGGTACGGTGTGCTGGTTTCACCTTATCTTCTCTTGGTCCGCAACTTAGGTTTCCGATCAGACGATCGAGTTTCATCCCCAAGCCAGTATTTGTCCCTTTGTTAATGGTCTTCTTACCACCCTCGACCATCTCAATTTGAGTACAAGCCTCAGTAAAGTCTGTCGCCTTCTTAGTTCTATCTTGCGCTAGTTCCGTTAGTAGCTGTCTGCAGCCCAGACAGTACCACTGCAGGAAGTCGTGCTTAACCTGCAGCTCGTATTCCCTACTGTCTGCCTTGCTGCAGACCAGTGGTACCAAGACTTGCAGGCGTCGCATTGAATACCATTGCGGATGATAGGCTTGGCACACCTGTGGTTGTTACATGAGACCCTAGTTGAGGTGGTGGTGTTCGGCGCCTTGCTGACTTTCATCCTGTCCCCTGCAGTAAGCATAATTTATGAATTCGTAAGAATTATAAGAATTTATAAGTGATCTAGATGACAGTTTATACGGAACCGTCTAAATTGATGAGTATTGAACAAATTGAATAAATTGAATGAAAGTGTGTAACTAATAGGGATACGAATAGGAGTACAGATACAATAATAGCAGTAGGTAACTATACCTAGTGCTAAATACAATGTAACAGAAATATATCAAAACGGAACAACCTGAGTTCCGCGACGAGTTAAACTGAAGAGCACTATACAATGACGCACGGATAATAAAGAACACTACAATAAACATTAGAAAAATGCTACAATAACCTAAAAAGATAGACTTAACACCTGGAAATGACTAAATATGATCAAAAAGACAAACCACGTCCAGTGTTCAAACCGCGCGTCCCGAGCTCCGTGTTCTCGTGTTTGCACAAGACGGAAGTGGTCGAGACCAATCGTCCATCCAGATCGTTGTGTTTTCAGCTAGTTTTCTTGGCTTCCAACACTGCTCGTCAAAAGATCGTTCTGCTTTTTTCAGAAAGGAAGAATATTTAGGTGTAGTATCTCATCCGCCAGATATGTAAAAATGAAAAACATCAATATAGGAACAAACACCTTTTTCTTTTATCGTCCCTCAAGTAAACAGCTCCAGGAAAACCACTTCCCAGCACAGATCCAAGGCCTTTATGACAACTATTCCTAGGTCCTTACCTCCGTTGTCCTTCGTAGCGCTGCGTCCCTGGTTGATTCTACATTGTTAATCAATAGCTGACACTTGGCCAGATTCAGGGGTAAATCCCATCGAGCCGACCAGCTGCGAACTGCTTTTAGGTCCCGGGTTAAGTTCTCACCCTCTATCTTCACATCGTCTGCAAAGATGAAGCAGGGGTCAGGCAATTCTGGCGTGAGGTCGTTGATGAATAGAAGAAAAAGAAGGGGCCCAAGAACAGAGCCTTAGGGCACCCCGCTTGTAACCCTCTCTGATCGCGAAATGTAGCTGTCAACCATTACGGTGAAGCTACGGTTGTTATAAAATGCTTCAGCCACTGGGGCGCAGCCCCGACTATTCCAAACGTTGGTAGCTTCGTGTCTAGCAACGTAAGACTCACCGAGTCAAAAGCCTTGCTGAAGTCTAAGTAACATATCTCCACTGCCCTGACCCGATCTAATCGACGTGTAGTCTCGTCTAGAAATATAATTAGATTAGTTCACAGGACTCGCGGCTTGAGCCAGTATAATAGTCCAGGTTCGTGCGTCTATGGGCCACGTGTGTCTCGTAACGCTTCGACGGTTAGTTGATCAGTCCTTGGTGGTGTAGGGGTACGGCCGCGGAGCAGGGACGCGAATCCGGTTTGCTGTTGATAGAAGCAGCACCAGCTAATCAGTCACATGCTAACCAGGAGGTCCGAGTACCTCACCAGTATACAGAAGAGAACCCGTAGGCATGCGAAGATAGATTAGTATGAGAAAGAAAACATACTAGAGTAATAAAGTAAGTGAGAAAACCTATTTCGGGGAGAAGGGTGTGGAGAGCTGGAGATGCACAGCTGAAGTGAAGTTAGTTGAAGTAAAATGGGATGATATAATTAGGAGTAAATAATAATAATAATAATAATAATGGTATATTTCACGAAGCCCGTGAAGCATGCTTGTGCGCATGATCAAATGTACAATAATATAAAATTATAGTGGGGACAGTAAGTGATAGTACAGAGTTTAAGTATCCAGTGACATAGGAGGAACATAAATGTGCTGTTTTCAGTGAAAACGGAACACAAGATGGACAAAGGTCATAATATGTAATACAGAGGGTGAATTGTTACAGACACGAGCAAATGAGAGTTTGTCTTATGGAAGAAGAAGAAAAAGAGAAAAAAAAATTTGGCATGTCCCACAGATTGAGAAAGTCGTTCAGGAGAAAACCAGAAGAAACGAGTTCTGCAGCAAGCACATAGCGAAGATGAAACATGTGGGATATTGGAAAAAGAAACGGCAATGGAGCTGGAGAGGAGCAGGTTTATGCGAGGAGAGACGCACAATGGATTATAAAAAAAAAGGGTTGCAAATGACCATACTGTTCGAAATTTTTCGGAACCAAGGAACGAGGGGCTTCAGGGCGTAACCGTGGACGGATTGTTTTTAATTATTTATATTATTTAGGTGGAAGGGGAGTGGTGTTNGTGGTGTTCGGGAAAGCTAAAGGCACAGATACTGCAAAACATTTGAGAACCTTTTATTATGCAAACTTTAACATTTAACATTGTTTGCGCTACATCATATCCCAACTCGTTGCGCTCTATACGAGACCTAACATTTATATGCTTTCCCTCTTTTTCTATTTCTGTTTAACTGCATTAGTGCCCTTTATAATTGTTGAATTTCTATTCTGACCTTGACGAGTTAGTTAAATCGACGTCGTGTCAATCTGGTCGTCAGTGCCTACTTTTTGTATATTTGATACTATAATTTAAACAAGCCTTTCCCGAGATTAATTTGAAAAGAAAAGACCATATTGCAATACTGCACGATTTATGTCCAGGACGATTTCGTTGCATCTCAACATAGTGCATACTGCAGAAAATACAATGTTTATATAGGGTTTTAGCATAGCAACAGAGTGAGGCAAAATACAATAAAAAAAACATACAAAACATAAAAGAGGGAGGGGTAAAAGGACCAT